AGCGGAAAAACTTATAGGTAGTCCACACACATGTGAAACCATTGCTTTGTTGTTACCATGGTTACAACGACAAGTAAGGCTGGAACCATTGCAACGCAATGACCCATCTGTTTTATGACACGTTATTTAAAAAAAAAGCTTCTGTGACAAATATCATTTTAGTTCACTCAGGAGCCGTTCCTGAATGTACCACAAGCTCTCACTTATTAAATATTTCGATTACCAAATTTAATGAAAATCTGTTAATTATTTGTTCCATTTTGTTGTTTAACAGTTAACATTTCTTTGTTGTTTTGGCGGGGGGGGGGGTTGATTTGTGCGGTGCTTCTGCCTTCACCTAACTTTACAACCCTGCTTAACAACTACTGATATAAATTCACAGTGTGGAAAGCTACACGTTACATTTAAGTATTGAAGTTATTGCAATCTACAATTTTATGATAATTTACTTCTATCTTCATCCTACTTGTAATACTTCCGCTTTGCTGGCGTTTCAGAAGAAAAAAATTACCTTTTTACTTCAATACATTTACTGACAGATATAGTGACTATTTAACCTGTTAAGATTTTGTTTTTACATGACATAACTGCTGTGATGAGTTAAAAAAAATAATAATACAACAATTGCCTAAATGATTAATCCAGTGGCTTCCAAAACACTGTTGGCTTTTTACAATAAAACAGTATCGTGCTTCAGACGAACAATCTCTCCACTAAACTTGTTCCAAGATGATTTAAAAAAAAACTAGAAGATCGGTAAAAGAGAAAACTCTCCAACTATTTCACATTCAACTGTATAATTTATTGCAGGGGAAAGTCAGATCACCTCAGATATATATATTCATATTAATATTTACAAATAGTTGCATAACAATCATAATGTGTGTATAACATCCACATAAAATCATTAAAAAGTCATCTACTAATATAATAATTCTAATAAACAATAATAATAATTATAAATGCCAGAACGTATGTGAATATACAGCAATTTCATCAAAGTTTCCTGCTTTACACCAAGATGTCTACCTCCTCACTGTAAAAGTATTCTTTTCTTATCTGTTTCTTGTTTCTTACTGTTATTATTTTTTGTGTTGTACGGTGTCCTCGAGTGCCCAGAGAGGCGCCTTTAAATAAAATGTATTATTATTATTATTATTATAAAGTCCATCCTCAGTGTCTTTGCACTGGTGGATCTCACTGTAGAAGTTTCATACTGGACCAAGACTGACTTCTAAAACAATTTGTGACGTCACGAATCACGCTCATAGTCCGCGCCGCTTAAAATCAGATTTTAAATGAGCTCAGAGAAACTTTCTACTTTCAGCAAATGAATATGAAAACAACCTTCTAGAGTTAAACTCTGCACAGACATCATTCTGCACAGTGAGGATCAAACATCAAGAAGAAATCACTAATTAAAACTGGACTTTAACTTTATAGGTCTGCTCCTGAATTAATCCAGCCATTAATTTATGGCTCACAACTTTGAAACAGGATTTTACAGACAGCACTTAAATGCAGCATGGTTGCGTGCTTTAACGCCACATTCCAGGTCAGAAAAATAACCTGTAAACTGATCCAGTTTTTACAGAAAAAGGTACAACAATTGTAGTGAAAACAGCCTGTAAAGACCAGTTTAGACTTTCTCTTTGAGCAACACTCCCTATTCAGTTTATTGGCTATCTGTTTAATCATTAACCTCCTCTTCACCTGACATCCTCACTGTTTTGAGTTAATCACAGCCGAGCCAGGAAGTGGATCTTTGTCATGTCCTTGTGCAAGGTTGAAGCTGGCTGCTTTTTCAGAATAAATTCACCACGTGAAGTCTTTACTCCAAACCGGTTTAAAGGTATTAAGGCAGAAAGTGAAAGCAGTTAGAGTGGAGGTAATGAAATAAAAGACGCAGAGCTGGAAGAGTACCTTTATTCTCTCTGCACTGCACAGGTAAGGGAACACCTTTTTTTTCTCTCTCTCAACATAATAATAAAATAATAGTATGAGCCTGTAACGCTTTACTTCTCTCAGTTTGTAGGCAAACAATTATCTTTGCAATCAAACAGGAGTTTTTTTTCAGTCGTAGAGAAAAGTTCTGGTTGCTAAGTGACAGTCTGTATGTATACAGCAGGTTATTTTGACTGTCAAACACTGTTATCAGCACATTGGGGACTTTTTAATCTGTTGATCCTGAATTTTTTTTAAAACTTGATTTGACAGGCCTGTATGATATACGCTAAAACCTATTATAACAAATAAAATAGAGTTGTAGTGCTCTCTATTTGGGATTATTGTACATGTAATGCCTGCTGAGATCTACACTGTTGTTGTTTTCGTTGTTATTGATTTACTATAGAAAAGAAACTTAACATATGAAGAAAGTATTATTATTATGTCTTAAAGTACCTACCACTGGAGACATAAATCAACAGTAAAATGCTCTTAAAAATGACTTCCTTGTTTACATTTTTGATATTTAACATACGTCTATCTGTGCAAAATACTTAATCTCTCCTTTTCTTAAAGGGTCAAATATGAATGACTTTTATTAATAACTCAAGTGCAATTAAACTGTTGTCGCACTGTGAATGATATTGACAGTAAAGAGCGTTTCAGGTGAGGTGCTTGTTTACTTTCGGTTTTATTTGAGCCAACCTTCGCTTGTTTACGTTTACTGAATATACACCCACACACACACACAGAGAGAAACCTGCTTTGACTGAGATATATTCAAAACAAGACAAATCTGATTTAGAAATAAAACAGAAAGTATCCATGTGGCAAGATAAAAGTAGGAGGGAGTGAATAGTATTGACTGAAATCCTGTAAGTAGAGTCAGTTACAATAATTAAACATTTAGAATAACATTGAAAATGACAAAAAGATATGAATTAAAACATTTAAATGTAACTGGTGGTAACGTCCCACTGATTGTCTCAGATATCCCAAACTCTGTACAACTATATTTACATTTTAAACACATTTTTGGGGAACGTGTTCATGGAGTCTGAATGTGAAGAGCTGGAACATGTTAATACAGAATATATTTAAATCTGACTGATGGTGTGGAAAAATATGACTTTTCAAACTTTAAGATATAAATAAAATGTATATATATAAAAGAGGAAATCTAACAAAATGTATGGATTTTTTATTATAAATAAAACATATTACTGTAGTATTTCCTCTCATTAAAATGAGTAACTATGGCACTGATTAGTTATGAATGAATTACAGGTCAACTCTTAATCTTTGTTTCTGATTTGTTTTAATTATTTGCAGGTTCAAATTATACAAATTACACAGAAATAACATTTAAAAGCTGTAACAGCTCTCGGTGCAGAGTAAAAAGTAAAAGGGCATTCAGATGAATTTATCAACATTTTTATCAACTCCAAATACAAATGGATAGTCAGAGTACTAATCAGATTTGAGTCAGGAGTTTCAGGAAAAAAAATTTAATCTGAACTGTGGAAATTCCTACCCTTTTCACGTCATTCTTTCACCACGTTGATAAGAGCTGCACAGAAGGCTATGGTTGTTGTCTGTAAACAAGACTGCTCCTCCTTTAGGCCCGCCTGCTGGCTCACCACGATAACCAAACACACACCTTAACATCAGAATCACACACACTCCTCAGTGGAGCCGAGCGCAGGCAGAAGTCGGCTTTAACCTTTGATATTGATTCTGATATTGATATTGATATTGATTGTTTCCTTACAGTTGGATGTTATTTAACGGGACGAGACGTCACAAATGATGGACAAACCTACTGAAAACTCAGATGAGGACAGAGTGTCCCTCAAGAGCAACGGGAAGTCGCCGACTAATGAAGCACCACTGGGCATGCTTAAGTCATTCAGACAGAGCATTCGGCGAGTGGCTGAGAAAAGTCCCCTAAAGTCCGGAGGCAAGGGGTCAAAGGTCATGCCTAAAGCAGACACGGCTGACAATGAGTTAGGGTCACCACTGCCTCTGTCACCCAGTGAGTATCGTCATAACATCTGCTATGAAAATGGGATTTATTTGCAGGCAGGTACACTGATATGGTCTCTCAAGGTCAGAAGGTGAGAGCTGGTGTTTGTGTGTTGGCTTATCTGCCCCGAAAAATCCCCACAAGCTGTTTGCTGCGCATTTTTAAAGTCCAGCACCGGGACCAGGATTTCAGCATGTGTGGTTGCAATGGGAACTGAACTTAGAAGTGTTTACTGGAAACATGAGCTAATATAAAATATGTGTCCTTTTTTTGTATTGAATTAGTGCTGAGAGTGCTGCAGCACCCCCTAAAATAATGTTTTAACTTCTCCTTTTTTACTGGCATTCACACACTAGTATGTATAGCAGGAAAGTGGTTTTAACTTGTTTTTTATCCACTAAAATGTTCTATAATTTATGTAAAATGATGTTAATAACTAATAACTAATAATTAAATAGACTATAAATGATCCTGGCCATTCTAATTAATGCAAAATCCATGTACGTCAAGCATTCATGGCATTCAGTTCTGGTTTTTAATATTACAATAAATGGGCGCCTTCTTGATTTCAACATACTTCTTAATATTTACTTTGCAACTTACTTGGAGAAAACTTGTAACAAAATAAAGACTGATTGGATGCACGCTTCAAAAGGATCAAAATAACTGCCTCCTGTCTGTAACCGACTGTGTCTGCTTCTATCTGATAAAAAGGTAGTGATTGCGCCATTTTAAACTCAAAATAAGCCGCCTTGTACTTCTTTAACAAACAAACAAAAATGGCTCCTGCAATGTCATTATATAGACTGACTTTCTCTCAGCAACCCCCAACTGTCACGGACTTCCAGCGTCCTCGCCTGCCTCCTTTAAATTAGTAATTGCCTTCATTTCCCAGAATTAGAACAGCCACTATGTGTGAGTGTGTTCGGCTCAGGTGTGGGTGATACTGGTGTGTGTGTGTGTGTGTGTGTGTGTAGGTGGGAAGAGCAATGCGGTGTGGAATTATAGTTTTAAAGATTTTTGAGTTTGAGTTTTGGAACCTTATTAAAAAACACAACCTGTTTTGCTGCTGTGGTTGAAGAAATGTGTCTCTGTGTCTACAACACGTTTTATTTGGATGCTTGTGAAATCTTCAGTGAAATCTATTTTATTCTCACACTCAACATGTTCTGCAGTCAGACTCTGTAAACTGAGGCAAGATAAAATCTTATTGTGTGTGAAAGAATCGAATCATTTCTCATCATCCAGAAAATATGTCGCCCCTTTTTGCCTGTGCTCCAATAACAGTTGAGCGAACCTTTGTCAACTATCTCCTTTCCTGTTCTCAGACATGCTATGTGCTATGCTTTTCTATGTTGGAAACACGCTGGCTAACAGTGAACTAATTTAGAACAATCGTTAGCTAGCTAGTTAGGTAATGTTTTGCTAACATTATCTAATTTAAGGTGTAACTATATGCCGCTTTTAACCATCTTCAAACTTTGGTTGTCTTTTGAACATAGACAGGTCAAGCACATAGCATAACTTTATCTTTTCTGGCAGATCAACCTCTCATTGTACAAGTAATTCTAAAGCAGACGTTTTCCAGACTTTGGTATTGCAGTAAAAGCTCATCTTGTGAGAGACAGTCTTAATTTGCAAGGCAGCAAAAAGGAATGAAAAAATAGTCCAAATATTTCATAATCTCTGCATTCACTTGAGGTCATTTAGAATAAGTCATGTGGATTCTTTTAAACCATTATGACTGACAGACTGACAAAAGAGGACAAACCCTACTCTAACTTTCACTTTTACATTCTGGATCTGAGCCAACCAACCTGTTTTCATCATGTTTTAATCTTTGCATTCTTTACTTGGTTTCATTGTAGGTTGCTGTAAGGTCAAAAAACTGTCAAGTCATGCACACACCCACATGCATGTAAATGTAAATGTGAACCTTAAGAAACTACTGGCAAACTTTCTGGCAAGATTAATTTCTTTTCTTACTGACGTGACAAAGTTAGCTGTGATTGTGAAACAAGGAGTTTGCTTTCTGCTGCTATCAGCCATCTCTCTGTGCCTCTCTTTCAGGTCTGAGCTGTGGCTCTCCTGTGACCTCCCCACTGAAGAACGTCATGGAGGAAAAGGGGGAAGACGAGACTGGTGACGTCACACTACAGCAAAGTAAAGGTCTGACGCGTTCAAAGACAGGTAAAGCAATCATTTAATACTGGAACAATAAGTCTCATTCAAGTAAAAGTGCTTTAAAGCACTAGACTATGCCACTTTTAAAAGAAGAAATAACAATCTTCCGTTAAAAATTAAAAGTATAACTGATAAGAAATAAAATGCCCCCTTGCTCATTTAATCACACTCGGGGGTTTTGCTGCTACAGCCTGATTCAATTCAATTTCAATTCAGTTTTATTTGTATAGCGCCAATTCATAACAGAAGTTATCTCAGGACACAAATAGAGCAGGTCTAGACCGAACTCCTTATAACATTATTTACAGAGACCCAATAGTACCACCGAGCAAAGGCACTGCCCGACGGGGCAAGGAAAAACTGCCTTTTAACGCAGAAACCTAGGAGACCTTGCGCCCTAGGGGCGGGTCATGCTGCCTCAACCAGTTGAGAGAGACAGACAGACAGACAGAGGTGCACGAGCAACAACAGTAGCAACAACTAAACTCGTAAGTCAGTGACTGATGATGGATGAATATGAAGAAGAACAACAACAACGATGGGACAGCAGCAGGGCGATAACAGCAACAACAGTAACGGTACATAATAAACTAATAATAATCAATAACACTAATACAGTGATATTAGCAATGGAGTCTAGCAGACCATGGCAGAGGCCTCCACCAGGATCCATGAGAACTGGAGACGATAAAGCACAAGAACTCCGGGAAGAAGTGAAGTTAGTAACATGCATAATGGGACATGAATGAGTGCAGAGAGAGAAGGAAGAGAGGAGCTCAGTGCATCATGGGAAATCCGCCCCGATGCAGTCTAAGGCCTATAGCAGCTAACTAAGAGATGGTTCAGGACTCACCACCTGATCCAGCACTAACTAACAGCTTTATCAAAGAGCAACGTCTTAAGCCCTACTCTAAATGTGGAGAGGGTGTCGCCTCCAGAACCAAAACTGTAACTGTTCCACAGGAGAGGAGCTTGGTAACTGAAGGCTCTGGCCGCCTGTTCTACTTTAAGAGACTATAGGAACAACAAGTAGCCCTGCATCACGAGAACGTAGTGTTTAGGGGTAATAGGGTACTAGAGCTCTTCAAGATAAGAAGATTCCTCC